GTTAACTTGTTTTGCGACGCGATGCACACAACGCCATGGCTGCTGTGTTAAAAGAAAAACAATTGTAAAAACCCAAAATAAGCTAAGGACGATTTTCGGGGTCGAAAAAACAAACATTGTGTCGATAATTAACCGACAGCATAATGTTATTTTGTCGCGAGGCATTTCCTATGTCTTATCAGTGTGCGGGTTGTACTGTAATCTGGTAAAAATGGAAGCCTGCTGTCCAATGAAAATTGGGTGCGTGTCAAAATTAAGTACAAAAGGTCGTACACACGGCTCCTCTCTACTATTGCCCTCATCGCAAGAAAAACTTTTCTGCTATTTAGCGTTCAGACGTATTTGTTCTTTTTCCCTCCACCTCCCCGGTCACCGACCCGCAAACTGTCAACATATCTTATTTAGTATTTTATTTTAGTTTTTACTGTTGGCGAAAGTTTTAACCCCACCTTTCCTCCAGAGATTTTAATCTTTGTTTGTAACGTTAGGCCCGTTTTAAACGTCGCATTTTACACGCGCCGAATCAAATACTAATTTTAGTGGACTCAAATTAATAAGTTCGGCTGATTTGATTTAAACGTCGCATTTTTTTGCAGAATAAAATTGCTGAGCGCGAGCGACGTGTTCATTCCCAGCTGACTCCGCTACAAGCTTCAAACCAAAGTAGCTGAAAATGATCAGGAGCACAATTTGCGTTAAGATCGTTCATACCTTTCAAACACCATTCGAGCAAACAGAATGGGGCGACTTATAATGCAGATGGCAGTGCATTACCTCTTAAACTTTGATTTTCGTTTCATTCTCCTGACAAATTCAAGTTCATAGACTTCGTTCTCCATCTTCTACATAACCTTGCTGAAAAGAAGAACCACCGCACACACTATTATACTCAACAGTCGCTATATTGCTTTCCTACTCCGCATGTCATGTAGCACAGAGCGGTTTTTTTACTGGAAGGCCGAAACGTAAGCTTAATTGGTTTTGCATAACTACATTACACGATGGGAGCGAAGCAAGAACCGAGCATACTGTCATCTTCAACAGCCTTCCTTCTACATGATACATCTCCTGCTGCAACTGTCGCCAAAAATTCCCGTCAGCTTGTTGTGAGCATGTCATGCAGCAAAAAACTGTGGAGTTATGGGTCAATTATAATTTAACATAATTTATGAATTAGATTCGGCACATGTAAAATGCGGCGTTTAAATCAACTGTCGAACTTCGGTCGCACATTCGACTGAACTCGCAATTAATTGAAATATGTCGCATTTAATTGATTTAAACGTCGCATTTTACATGCACTTAATTAAACTCGTGACATTTGTGGCCATTTATCCCAAACGATTTGTTTCTATTCTAATCATTCATAATGATATGCAAAATGGAATTACTCTTACATAACCTCCTATTCATGGTTAAACAATTGGATTACGTAAGATTGCGTGCCTGCAATGAAATAAATACTGGAAACGCGCCAAGCAACTTTGCATTCTAGCTCAGTTTTCAGCAAGTGAACTGCTGGACGGCCCACCCGCCCACCCGGATTCGCGTGGGCCGTAATTTTGGCACCTCCCCTAAGCCAAGTTGTGCCAGCTTGGCTCAACCCGCTGAAAAATATTTTTCCCACTCCTTAATATTCACTGAGCATTAGTATGAGTGTTGTTGAACAGAACACTATTGTCGTCTACCTATCTCTTCCGCAAACTAGTGCGACGCCTTGCAGAACTCTCGATGTCTAATGTTTGTAAATGACTCAAGATAAAAGACGGATTTTTCTCACCTTGAAGACCCTCTGACTTGAAGTGTTTGTGTACTCCAAGTGGTCACAAACTTTCATTTATTTGCATTTATTAACATTTATTATTCTTTCCTCGATGTTTGATATTTTCTTGCTTTTATTACTACTCCTGGTGCAGCTCTTCTTTGCTGTGTAAGCTCGCAATAGAGGGTAAGTCTGGTCGTTTGTCCAGAAACATAACCGACAAAAAATACAGTGCAAGACTTCAATCGTCTCACAATTTTGCAGCGCTTTTGCGAGACAAGTGTGCTTCGGCGAAACATCGAAAGGGTTTTTTCTCGGCTAATACACGGGGCAAATTTCGGAAACGATGTGTGTAAAAGACAACGAAACTGTTCGCAACTTGTTGTCNTTCTCGGCTAATACACGGGTCAACTTTCGGAAAGGATGTGTGTAAAAGACAACAGAACTGTTTGCAACTTGTCGCCATTCAGAAGTATAAGACTTCGTACATGTTATAAGCGATGAACTTTAATAGTTGGTATCGAAGGTTGGGTCGACGATGCCATGTTTTTGATGTTTTAGACTCCTCTGAACAATGTCGAAAAAATGTCAGAACCTTGACGTTCTTGCAATCTAAATTGGCCCCAAACTACCTAAGTGATTGAAAGATATAAATTCTAAAAGTCTAGGAGAATGCAACAACATTTTCTTTGACACAAGAATGACTAATACTCACGTTTTCTTCACAACGCCAAAATTCAAATACTCACATTCTCGACGCGACGTGACTCCAGTATGAAGATGGTTTAGGCATGCCCGGCCATTGTGCATCTAGCTTGAAAATTTACTTCCGGTGGCTTCCCTATTGTTCTTGGTTCAATACGCACCTTTTGGAATCAATTCCAAGTGTTCACGGTTTTCTGAGTAATAAAAAAAAACCGTTTGTGTAAAATTCAAATCCACTGTCCAAATTACCGAGTCCTCAATCTTCGATCTTTTATGGCTAGGCGAACACTTCCGGTCTGAGATCATTTACGGTAGAATATGGAGATCATTTTCGGTCCTGGGATTATTTGCGGTTCGGGGATCATTTGCGGGACTGTACAGATCGCTTTTTTCTTTTCTTTCTTTCTTTCTTTTTTTTTTTTTTTNTTTTCTCATAATTATTATAGTTTTTTTAATGTTACGCGATGCTCCGGAATGTTCCATGTTCCTGGTTTTATTGACGGCCGCTAAATTCTCGCATTTAATTCTGAAAGGAATACATCCACTTTGAGTGAATTCATAGGGTATGCAGAATCGACGGATTTTCGTGAAATTTCGAGACATTCTAGGGATAATGAGAAACAAAAATTTGTCGGGAAATTTTGATAATTAACATACGGTGATGCCGTGGAATAATAATAATGACAATGACAACGACAGTGACAGTGACAGTGACAGGGACAGCGACAACGATAATGATAATGATGATGATGATGATGATGATGATGAAGAGATGATGATTGTGATGATGATGATGTTGAAGATGATGAAGATGAAGATAATCATGATCGTTTCCCAAAACTGTTGTTCCCTTACAAAGTTTGATCTTCATCTTGGCAATTAGCCATTTG